GGCTGGAAGTGTCATACCACAGGATTACAAGCCTTCCGGTAGTAAATTCTGAAATTTCACCGTTTTCTGGCCTTTTTTACAGTGAAAACCCTAATAGTTGGAGAGTTTGTGGTTTTAGATGCTACTTCTGTGAGTGGTAAACGTCATGTGGTCATAAAGTGCAATAGAACCACAATCGGCTCAGGCTGAGTAACGATCACCTTTTTCCAGCTCTTTTTCAGATGAGTAAAGACACGGATGGTATTTCAACATATATCTACGAAGATATCATGGCTGCTCTTTTGAACTATTTGGTAACACCACCGTCAAGTACACAACAGTGGACATAGGGCGTTGCAAGTACATGCAGAGAATAACTATTTGAGTATGTTTCTCACAGCGGCGAATGCACTAGTCACTAATTCTTCGTTCAAATAATTTGGGGTAAAGATTTTGAAGGAATTCACAAGACGAAGTCAAAATACGATCCATTGAAGAATATTAACGAAGAACATGGCACAACTCAGGTAGGTCTGTCTGGTTTCATCCGGGATACATGATGAGCAAGACGAGCTGTAAATTCAATTAGGTTCTGCTTCAGTTGTGCTAAGAAAGTCGCATATATGAAGAAAGACGGTCAATAAAACAAAGATAGGTCTTAGACGCAATACACTACTCATGCGGTTGTCGAAAACTCTTCGACAGCCCACGAACGGTTTGGCCCTTCGTGGGGTTTATCAGTTAGGTGTTGATATATTTTGGGTCGACATAGTCTGTACTTTTTCTAATCAGGTAAACCCGCGACGGTCATTCTGTCCAAAGACTCCTGGTCCATTGCCACTGTCCTTCACCGCATGGCGTGAATGCACAAATCATTACGTGCTTTCCATCGGTAGCCACGGAGAAATCAACAGCCAGTAGCCTGCGGGCGACTTTCAGTTTTCCCTGTCTCAATGCCTGAGACAAATTTTTACTTACTTATGTTGACGTTACATTTAAGTTGGAGGTTTTCTTGTTCTTTTTATTGTCCATAAGTTTACCCAAATGACTGAAAGGTTTGTGATTTTCTAGAACCAACAGTTTTGACAAAATATTATTCAGAATAATTGGTTTTCACGAGAGACTCAACTGAATCCCTCGTTTATGATATTCTACAACTGAATGTGTTGCACACAGGCCGCCTCATGAGTTGCAAATGAGTGTACTTCTCGAAAACAGTCCAATTTGGGTTCAAGTAGAACATAAGGTTGACGGAAACTCGGGGACTGCGCCTACCTGATGAGCCCCAAGCGGGGCGAAACCGGTCGTGGGCTGTCGAAGAGTTTTCAGCAACCTTGCGAGTAGTTTCCCTTAAGAAAATTCGGAGTGGTTTGCCATCGGCACGGTGCGAAAAGCTTCCACAAAAATACACACCAAATTCGCGGAATCATTTCCAAACTTTTGGACTGCACGGAATTGCACATCTATCCCGCCTACTGTGATGTGCATATAGCTCCTGCTTTTGAGGCCATGGAAAACAGGGTGACCGGGTCGAATGTCGGGGTAGACAAATCGATTTTCCGATTGTTTGAAATGAATGCGGGTATTCGGGTCATTATGCCTGACATGCAGACAGACATCAAAATAGGAGTGATTGTTTGTTCACTTCAGTTTTATCAAAGGTGTGAACAGATGTTTTGTTACTTGTTATATGTAAGCACCGATTTGGCTTCAAAACTTTATTGAACACTGATTTTACCTAGTGTCCTGTTGGTTGATTACTCACATCTGTATGCAGCTACAAATGCATGTTGGAAAACAACAACTGGGCATAGACGAGACTACTCAAAAGATTGCTGAAAACGCTTCGAAAGCTCATGACCTGTTTCTCCCTTATGGAGCTCATCAGATGGGTACAGTCCCTGAGTTTCCGTCAACCTTATGTTCTACTTGCTCCTACAGTGAACATATTGTGATAACTGCACACATTTGCATATCAATTTTGTTTTCATGGGATAATCAGCTGAATATCTCGTTCATGATTTTCTTCAGCTGAATGTTCTGCACAAAGGCTACATGAGGTTGATGGAAACTCGGGGACTGCGTCCAGCTCATGAGGCTGAAAAAGGTGAAACCAATCGCGGGCTGTCGAAGAGTTTCCAGCAATCCTGTGAATAGTTTCCTCATTGAAAAGAGAGACATGTTTGCATGGGGATACATTGCCCTTTTCACTATAACCCAAATTACGAAATCTATCTAAAAAACACAGGTTAGTCCTAGGCAACCTGTAATCAAGGAATTGTTTTTTATCCTGTACCACAGACGGTAAGTGAATAACTGGAACTTGTTCGCACAAAACACTGATTTCAAGAAAGTTGCTTTATCAGTTACCTAACGTGGCAGGGGTGACTTGAATAAACATTCTGTTTATTCTGACGAGCTCCGGAAAATTCAAAATCAACAACTTTGAAACTCCCAGTTCTAGCGTAACTTTAGTCCCCATATCCATACCCACATCGCCTTCCTTCTAGAAAAGTTCGTTCCCAAACCAAACGCAAAATTACATGCCATACGTGCAGACTATTTTCTTACCGAAAGCTTCAAGCATTGATTTCTTCCACACAACGTTCCTAAACACAAATTTTCCACATTCGCATGTACACGCATGTGCAATACACTCTCAAAGTTAACGGCTACTGTAGCCAGCGGACTATCGGTCTACAAACCGGGACCAGTTTATTAAACGATCCCGTTGAATATTCCTGATTGAATTAACAGCCGAAAGACACTGGATAAGCTATGGCGAAGTTTAAGGAGCAACTAATGGGGAATATTTTGTAGTCAAGTGACAGGTTGCGTTAGGTTTACTCCAACAGTTTTTGCAGCCTCAATCTAATTTCAAAGCCATAAGCACGTTAGCGCGAACAATCACGTTCCCATTTTAGACCCAAGATCAAGCTCCAAGTGTTTGTCTGCACTCTTCCAAACATGCATAATGTTGTTACTTTTGGACCTAATTAGCTTAGCTTCCCGTTCTATACACGAAGCAAAGAAATATTAACAACAGGCCTCTAGGAGAACGGAAGGTCCGTGGTTCGCACCCGACCTCCGACTCTCGACTTCCCCTGTCTAGGCTTCGGCAAGCTGGCAGTATCCCAGCGTTTGCGCTTCCTTCAGATGGCATAGTAGCTAAGCACTGAAAGGGTGTTACAGCTGAGCGACTTTTTAGAAGACCATTTCCTGTCAAATAGGTCGATCAATCGTAAGGTTTCTGAAAACTTCTCGGCTGTGATGAAAGCAATCAAAAACGGGTTACCTAAATTCATTTGAGTATCCCGTCAATACCATAAAAGCTCAACTAGTTTTTTCCCAGTTGGACGTGGTGAACGCAGGATGTGATATTTTGAATGAATCCAGTTAAATTGAATTCTGGTCACGTATCACTATATTCCCTGCTACAGTAGCTCATATTAAATATCACGAACTATATTAGAAAAAAAAGACGGCTGTTTAGCCGACAGTGAATTTACAAGCTCGTCTGAAAATCCAAAACAGAGGCATCATCAAATAAAAACCTATTTGGATTGCAGTAATTTCCAGAAAATCGATATGGTTACGAGACACAAACAGAGAACACAATGGCCGAGCTTATTTCGATGGTTGCTAAAATAGTACGAGGAAATTACCAGTTTTTGTGCCACATTCAATAAAGCTGGATGGGATCTGTGGTGAAAAGCCCCTAATTCCTCAACGATCTCTCAATGGATTTCAGTTTGTATGCCGAAAAACTTTCCGCTCAATCCCCCAAATCTATCTACAAGTCACTGCAACTCAAAATTACCTGCAGTCGAGACAAGCCTCAAATCGCTAGAACCGACCGCGGACTTCAGCACAACAGTACCTATCAAAAATTGCCCCAAAATTGTCGCGTTGTCCCAACTTTACTTCAACTAAACTGAATCAACAAGTCCCTTTTCCCGCTGTGTGACCTCAGGCTAAAACAAAATGTCCAGTCGAACTTGCTTCACTAAACGCCAAAGTTCTCAACACAGGCCTTCTCAAGCGCACACTCATGCAAGTACCGAAATTGAGTAGAATGCTGCTCAGTTACCCCTCACACATGGGCCAGTAGCTACACAATGGAGTAAACCATCAAACCCTGGTTACGAGCAAGTTTTTCTCATGGATAGAGACTCTTCGGATGCCTCACCGCACAATTCAGAACGAACCTTCTCTCGCCCATAACCTCAGCGGGCTGATTTTGAGAAGTCCTAAACTTCTGGAGAGCAATCCTTGAGAATGTTGTCGGTGTAAGATTTGGATATGGATCGGTTTTGTTGACATGTCCATGTTTGATCGGAAATTACATTCTACACGGAAAAGGTTCTGTTGCGTTTGCATTGGGCGGGTCTTCCAGGGTTGTGCCAAATGCATTTGACTCTGAGTGTACTGAGCCTCCCAGCTTACTCAACTTCTGGGGCTGAACTGTAGAGTACAGCTTTGAGAAATAGCTGAGGGGAAATTTACCATCATGGATAGGAGGTGGGGTGGCTACTCACTGTATGCAATCGTTAAAACTGAAAGTCGTGTGTTTCATTTCTAGTCGCATGTATGTTGGACTTGATCGATGCTTGATGCGGTTCATTGGGTGTTCTTATTCACATCGGTGATTCGAAATTCGCGATAATTCACCACGGTCAGTGTGCTCGTTGGTGACCAGTGAATAAGTAATGGGCGACACCGCAAGACCTCTCTCTCGTAGTATTGATTTTAATGAACTTGGATCGACTTCGTGATGTGCAAGCCCCGCAGTGTTGGTTCGTCTTTTTTGGAGAAAAAATTCACCTAAACAAAAGTACACGTAATTTCTTCCAGAAACACTGTGTATACTGTAACTGGTCGATTTGAAAATAAATACAACTCGAAAATCTCATCTCTCAAATTGTGTATGAGCCTGAATTAATAATACTGGAATGCTTATGGAAGCCTTATGATAATCAGACCACATGCGTTACCTCAAGGTCAACAAACCCAGCACTTACCCATTAATCAGTTGTAATTTTGCGTCATATGTTGCGGGAAGATTGCCCGCAGTAATTTGAAATGGTTAGCCGCAAACAGCCCACAAGTAGGGCCAGACAATGAATGAGGTTGTGGCTATTTGCCGCTTGTTTGACCAATATCCTATTGGACAGTGATGCAGACAGTCATTTGAAAATTTCCCGCTAGCGTTTTAACTCTGACAGGCACACATGCTCGAGCAAGTCCTGCCGTGCCATGGGGCACGTGACGAGGCAAGAGAAATAAATGGACAACGGCGACGACGACGTGTGTGGGCGTTGTACCGGGTGGACATGAACGTGATTGGTTAACGATTTTAGGGTCAATACGGCATAACTGGCGTATCTGTCCAGGGCAAATGGAAACAGCTCTATTCGACCAGCGGGGTTTGTATCCAACGCATACGGGTATTGTAAACAAACGCCGTGTTGTTAGTGCGATCCTGAAGCCGCGACGGACAAAAGTAAAGGGAAGCAACAAACGGTAGCATATGATTGTGGTTTAGTTACCATGACATTTAACAGACACTGATGCATCATCAGCCATGACAAGAGGGGAAGGGTGTTGAAATTCGCCACTAACAGATCGTTTTGCATATCTAATTTCATTTGAAGAATTTTTCGAATAGAGATGCAGTACGGCTTATGTTTGTCGTGAAAAGTTACGGTGAGTGTCAACTACGCGCCTCGTTTTGCAGCTAATTTGTGACCACTTTACGTTCTACTGATCAAGTAAGAGGGAATACAATCAAATGTAAGACTAACTACACTGCTTAACCTTTACCGTATGAGGACGCAAGTTCTCGCACCTTTTGCAATACAGGAGGACCTCTCAACAACGAATCTCCCAACAAGGGACGCTGTAAACTTAGATATATTTGTTAAGTGTATTTGTTAACGTCAGGATTAGGACCGCCTCACTGAACCAGGGAAGGGATATAAAACAAAGATCGATGGGGTCGGTAAACTCATAGAAAAGGAATGACGGATTGTTGAAGAGCACAGTTTTGTCCAGTTCTTCCAGCCTTTCTTTCCAGCTCGTGGATTTGTAGGTGAGCGTGTTCAGGCGGCTGACACGCTGCCACGATATCGTATTTTGAGCATATGTTGCGAAAACAAATCACCATGTGGGAACCAATCACCAGGATACGCGGAATTTCTCGAATTGCCGCAAAAAAATGAAAAAGCGACTGAATAAATGACAGAAAATTATGGCTTGTAGAAAAATCACGGGCTGTTGAAGTTTTAGAGATAATCTTGAAGGTTGTGAAAAGCTTAATGGAGTTTCGACGTAATCTTCATGAGAAATCTGCGCTCAAAATGGTTGTTTTTCCAAATACTGCTTTAATCTCCGTGTGTCCTAAAGTCAATCCACCTAAATAAACTCAGTCATCGAAATACACTCACTTGTATACCAGTTTGGTTGTGACGGGATACTCAACTGGAACCCAGATGAATCTTTCGTTTATGATGTGCTGGATCAGACCACTTCATGCTTCATTTGGCACGATGTTCGAGATATCTTATGTTGCTGTTTGTGTGCTTTCGTGTGAATCAGCAAGTCTGCGACGAGGGATCACGGGTATACAGGGAGGGGCTAGTGGCAAATTGAAAATACTGCAGTAAAAGTACATGTGTAAGGTTTACATTACAGTTAACTTAACGAGATTCATCTTTCAACAGCTTGTACCACACAACAGAAATCTAAATTCATCCGTATATACACAGCTGTGGAAAGCTATGAAAAGCCGCACTGTTCCTCTAGTCTGGTTCCTTTAGTCTTTGTCACATAAACCCGTTGGTTCAAACAATTACCTGAGTTGTATTCACACATTTTTTGCTTACTATGTGCTTGGCGACACAGCGTAATACTATATCCTCTCCCATTCGCCAGTGAAGTTGCATTCGAGGTTTGTCCCCATTTACACTCGCCTTGTTATATTTAGCAGCGTGTAATCTTCGTTCACAAGTAGCCTACTGACGTTACTATCGACTTCGTGATCGGATCCGTTTTGACTAGGCGTTAACCGAAGTCTTTTTGCACCTACAAAGGAGGGAAAAACAGTGCAAGAAAAACAGCGGAGGAAAACAGCCATAGCGCTACGTCGACGTATAATAGCAATTCATGAGGATTCAAACAGTTTCTACACGGTAATCTTTAACCAATGCCAAGTTCCATGTTAGATCCTTTTGGCTCGGAAAATCAGAGCAGTTGAACGCAGTCCAAACATATTTCCCTGCATGTATTTACACAAATACTGGCGAATTTTACTTACTCACTTACCTTCCCCTCCCCCGCTTCCAACTGCAAAAAGAGACCGTTAATTTAAAGTCTCAATTGCTCTACTTGATTCATCGGGAGTCATCTCATCCAATAAGACCCATCTAATAACCAGGTCCTCTGGGTGTTCGTTATATCTGCCGATTCGTGAATCTGTGGTATCTTCTGCTGGCCCGTTCCAGTGCCTAGTGCCGGAGAAAAAAGGCTCACAGAAGGGAACACAACCGCTATACTCCGAACAAACGAGTGAGAGAGCGTGAGTGCGTGCGAATGCAAGAGCAAAAGTTACAGCGGCCCCACGCTATTTAAAGGAAACTTTCTGACATTGATCCAGGCTGTTTGATAGGCGTTAATAAACACCCATCAACATCGATCGTGTCTCTATGAAAAGCCTGAACGCTGATCCCATTCGGTCGTGCTTCTGTGGCGTGCAAGGACACTCATCAGGTTTTGCTGAATTGATTGAATGGTTGACTGGCCTGGATGCTTGCCGGCTTTCCTGTTGAGTTTTTGGTGGAGCAGTAGGTTCCGGGCGTTCTGAGGTTGCTTTCAGGAATCGGATCTTCCTGATAGTGTTGTACTCCAGTTCGCCCGCCCCCCACTCCCACTGACAGTATATGTCGCTTTCTTTTCCACTATTTTTATCAATAGGGTGTACAGTGTTAGTTGCCAGACAAGATATTTCGTCTGTGCGGGTGAAACTGACCTCCAAATGTGCGATCTGATAACTCTTGAATTTTTGGAGAGAGGGAAAAACAAACTACTTAGAAAGTTGCGTTTACTGGATAGAGTAGTAGTCACATCCACAAGAAAGAGCCTTAGGGCCTCCCAACTGTTCACTAAGTTCTAGCGATGCGTCGTCAAAACAAAATTATGTAGGATAAGAACCAGTACGATGGACCCTTACTCGCCGATGTCTGCTTTGTGTTCAGATACTCATCGGCTCCAATCCATGGAATAAAATTTTTTTGGCAAATGCTTGGCAAACGTTTTTTCCATTGACATAAATAGGCATGTTGCACGAATGAGTTTGATAGCTCTAGGTTGCCATAAACTTTGCTAAGTGGCATTTGCACAGTATAGAATCTTCTTTCACCTACTGACTAGATAAATTCCTTGACCTTGTTTCGAAACTTATTTTGCCTTGCCAAGCAGATTTTTCAGCGAATTTAGTTTTCCTTATTTCAGATGTCTGATGCTGGACATGACTCGTAACTAAATTGGTTTTGTTAGTCGCTATCGAAATGCTTTCAGCAACCTTGTGAGTAGTGTATTGTGTCCATACTGTGTCTCGCGATATCTCGAATATCGTGCCAACTGAAAGATGATGTGATCTTGTGCAGCACATTCAAATGCTCAAAAAAAAACATTGCAAACGAGAGACTCATCTGGATTTCAGGTGTGCCTCCCGTGCAGACCAAACTGATGTGTAAATGAGTGTATTTATCGATACTTGAGTTCACTTAGCTTCCCGGCTACCCAGACAGTGATGGACTCATCTGATAGAGCCCTTGAGGTACAAAAGGATTCACTGAATAAGTCAGTAAGACAACCATAGTTCAGCTATCTATACTAAAGTGCTTTAGGTGCGTTATAAAATCACACTGGACTAGATGTAACCATGGTCTAATTGTTTTCGGGTGAAGCGAGTACAAACGAACAGATGGATCTGTTTCCACTGAGCAACGGCAGTGAGTACACGTAATCATGAAGGAGGGTGTATATATGGGAATATAAATTTCAATGATTAAGTCGGAATAACTGATCTCAGAGCTACGTAAAATGGGGTTCCTCCGAAGAATTGCTGATTCACAAGAATAGACTGTTCTGTCAACTGTTACGCACGACGGTAGAAGATAAGCTTGCAAGACGTGCACCAAACCCGTCTTAAAGACGAAAGTCTAATCTAGCGCCCCACATGAAGAGGACGGCATCAAGGTCGTAAGAACATGAGCGGAATCGAACCTCAGTTTATATGCAGTGCAGACTTCTCGACATATTATACTGTGACACGAGGCGCAACCGTAGAAAGTCCTTCTGCTTTCTACACAACCAACAAACTGGATGTCAGCACTGTCCTCAGCTAAACTAGATTGGTGGTGTAGTCTCCAGGGGAGTGCAAAGTCTGCTTAACAACATGTTCAGAGACAGCCAACAGAGCATTTCAAGCCCCTACCCGCTTCACACCATACTGATTCATAAATCATTATAGAGTCCAGCACTACTGAGAATTGCACTTAAAGCTTGCTGTGTGAATTGCGTTTGCTGGCAACTTCTCATAAGGTTGATCAGTTCAAGAGGAATATCTCTCTCGGGAATATGTGCTTTCTGAGTGCACCCAGCGAGCCAACCAGATACAAGAGAGTGAGACCACGACACAACTCTGATTACCAGGTGGCCAATGAAATCACGTGAAGACTACCTGGGGGCCAACCAATCACTTTAGAGATATCAGATGCTGTTTCCGAACTATAGAAGCACATGTAGGAGAGGAGGAATTTACCAACTCAATCCCGCACCTAAAATGTCCTCTCGATTGGTAATGAAACGTTTGCAATCCAACTACCAAGCCCAGTGAACATACCAACAACCAAATATCATGGCATTCACGATGTTTCTAAACAATTCGACAGCCGACGGCCAGTTTCATCCCTCTCGGAGACTCATTGGGTAAATCAGTCTCCGGACTTTCGTCAACTTTCTTTTTCACTGGAAACCTGATCGTACGAATTTGACGGGATACCTTCATCTGCCAATTAATTTGGTTTTAACAGAATGCAACGTAACGTTGCATTGAGGGAGCTTAACTCTTCTGTCTAACGATAGCACTCTACTGGTAGTTTTGCGATATATTGTTAGCTCAGGCGCGCTACTTGGTGTACACTGGGTGCGCTTGGGTATGCACTCCGGTGGGGTGACTTTAA